GAGAGAGAGAGAGAGAGAGAGAGAGAGAGAGAGAGAGAGAGAGAGAGCAAACTACCTGGCCTTGAGTCTCTCGAGAACTTTAATAGTGACAAGTTGGGAAGCCATGCATGCATCAAGATTTACAAACACTACGCGGTTTCCTCCAGAGTCTGCTACAATAAATGACCGAGCTCGCAATCTAAAGTGAACACCAGATGCAACCTGTTCGGTATTTGCATAACCCATCATATTGACATCAGCTGCAGGCCCCGTTATGTCATAACTTCCCAAGCCGATCAGATAAGGAGAATCTCGAACTGCTCCATTACAATCCCAGAGACATAATGATAGCAAGAGATAGAACAAGACAATTGCAAAAGGTCTCTGTATATAATGTTTGAAGAAAGAAAACGGCTCCATTATCATTAGCCAAATGTTACATTCATACTAACTCAGAGCATCCCATATTCCTGCAGTTGAGAGCAGAACACTGTGAGCATTTTTCCTAAGAGATGACATTGTGAGCATGTTCTTCTATAAAAAGATACAGGAGCTCAACTAACAAAGAAAAGGCAGAAACTATTTCTTTGTAGCAATAGATAGGAAAAGCAAATACTTGATCAAATGGACTATGTGCCAATCTCACTCCATTACCATCCATCATTTCAACGGGCAGTAACACACTTATTGGTACAGAAATGTCACAATTCTGACGAGTGAGGGTGTACAATTGACCATGCTTGAAGTCTGAGAAAATGTTCCTTGGACTTCGTGCCAAGAAATGGCACACTCAGCTGTCCAACTTCACATCTGACGGCTTGAGGTGTTTGTGACCTTTGTACATGAAAGGTAAAATCTCTCTCTCTCTCTCTCTCTCTCTCTCTCTCTCTCATTACATTTTTTTTTTTTTGAAGAAGAAGAAAGTACAACTCCAATGCACTCCAAATTTTGCAGTATGTATCTCATCTAGGCACTCCAAATTTTGCAGTATGTACCTCATCTAGGCACTCCAAATAAAAAAAAAATGTATACTCTCGAGAAATGTTGGGAGAAGTATAAGCTCTTTGGCTTATAGAATATCTATCCTTTATATACATACAACATAATTTCAGTTATTTCATATTTTCCCCAAGAGATATCAAGTCAAAGCCATGTCAAAAACAAATAAAATAGCATAAATTAGTATTTTCATGGGCATCTTTTAAGATGATCATATGCATTTATTTTTGTTATTGTGGCACTACAATCATCTTTTTTTTGAGTAAGTAGCACTACAGGCATCTAACGAGCAGTTACGACCATTACAACTATTGCTACTAAAATAACTACTACGACTATCTATTCTACATAAAAAAAATTTGTACTTTAAGGCACATCATGCATAATAATAAACAATTATTGATAAATGCCAAGTTGGAAAGTATATTTTCAATGGGAAGTTGCTGATGATGAAGCAACACAATGTGCGACCATCACAACACTTAAATTATAGACTCAACTACCACACATCCAGATATAATGACACAAACCTATAAGGTAATAATAGTCTCATCAACCATTCACATTTATAACTCATCAAAATAAGTCAAGCCTCACCTCATAACTCATCAAAAATTGCAATTTAAGTGTTGAAAAACCTTTAAATCTAGCATCTAAGCTTGAACATTAAAACAAATTAGGATTTCAAGTTCTAAAACAATGTATATTGCAACAAATCATCTAGACCATCCATTTCACCCTAAAAATAAGGTTCACAGATCCACAAGATTTGTATCATTTTTTTAGTTTCACATTTTGTTGTACATATTGGAAATTGATTTTAGAGCCATCATGAAGATTTCTAATACCTAAAGTTCTTGTCAGATGTGGATTTGAGGTGAGGCTTTATTTTGATTTCATAAAGCCTAGGCCCTATAGAAACTTCATCCTTTGTATTAAGACCAGACTAACATCAATTATGCTTATCAGCTAGAAAACTAATAGATATTTTTATACAAGTTTGAGATATTGGGTCCCAATCTCATTTCCAAAAGGAAATATTGACCCATCCACCCAAAGCAAACAAGAAAATTGTAGGCAATTTTGTGATGTAGCATTAGGTCACAGTGGTGTGAACACACAACTTGGATGAGGAAGATCATGGGTGTGAATTCTAAAGCCACTCCCTTGTAGCCTTAGGTCCAAAAGAGTGGCACACAATTTGCAATGAGAAAAGGGTAAGAGTATGAACTTTATATTTTGTCCCTTACCCAAATCAGGCTAGGTACCTCCAAAAATAAAATAACAACATTTTTTCTTTTTTTGGAAGTTATTTATGTCAATGAAATTCTCCCCAAAGTTCCTTTCTTGGATCAGAAGTCCCAAGAGGTGAGTTATATTATAGTTTTTGCCCTCAATTAGGCTTCATACCTGTAGAAACAACAAGTAAGCTTTATCTTGATGTTAGTTTATCAATGAAAATAAAAAGGTGGACTTGAGTGTAAATATGAAATACAGAGAAATACTCTTTAATTCTAAAAATAGACAGGATTTTTTGGAAAATTCTCCTAAAATTTATTCCTAGATAGGATTTTAACCAAGCAAGAGCATATAGTTTTTTGGAATTTCTAAAGAAACAATATATAACAATGTCTCATTTTATACATGTAGAGATAAAACATTAATTGAAACATCAAAGTTGTGAAACATTGAGATTGTTTTAGAAAACTCCCCTGTAGATAATGGGATTTTTCAAGAAAAAACAATACATCTATACCTTTTTTTGGTTTTTTGGTTTGAAATTTTGGAAATAATACAAAACAAGAGTCAAGAGGTTGGATCTTATTAGCAATCATGAAAATAATTTATATTAAGACTAGGAAAACATTAATGTGCTTATAAAAAAGCAAGAAAACTAATAGATTTTATACAAGTTTGAGATATTGGGTCCCAATCCCATTCCAAAAGGAAAGATATCAATTGATAATTGACCCATCCACCCAAAACAAACAAGAAAATTGTAGGCCATTTTGTGATGTAGCATTTGGTCTTAATGGTGTGAACACACAAGTTGGATGAGGAAGATCAAGGGTGTGAATTCTAAATACCTTGTCTTGTAGCTTTGATCCAAAAAGGTGACACACAGTTTGCAATGAGACAAGGCTTAGAGTATGAACATTACATTTTGTTCCTTGCCCAAATCAGGCTAGGTACCTCCAAATATAAAATAATAACGTTTTCCTTTCTTTTTTTTGAAGTTATTTATATCAATGAAATTCTCCCCAAAGTTCCTTTCTTGGATTAGAAGTCCCAAGAGCTGACTTTATTATTGTCTATGCCCTGCACAAATTCAGCTTCATTCCAGTAGAAACAAAAGGTAAGATTTATCTTGATGTTATTTCTGTCAATGAAAACTTACCCAAAGTTCCTCCGAGGGCTTCCAAAGGCAAGCAACTCTATCATAGTTAGGGTCATATATTGTGCTCTCTCAGGAGTATTGGTTTAAGAAGGGTGATGACCTTGAACTTTCTCTTAACCTAAGCCTGGGTAAAGGAGGTGGGTTGTGCTAGGCAGACTACTATGTAAAACCTTGCCAAAACTTTTCATGAATCCTGAATCTACGTCATATAATGATGAATATTCTCTCTCATGAGCATACTATACACTAACTCCTTTTGTGAAAGACGTACCTAGGGATCTGCTTAGCAATCGACATATCCTTACTTTCAAAAAATAAAATTTGATTATTGAGTTCTTCGATGCTTAGACATCACCCTCCAAAAATTGGACTATCTATGCTCAATCTGTGGATGTTACCCTTTGCAAGTCAAAGTGTGATTTGAAACTTTTTTTTTTTTTGAGGTTAGTGGCAGGGTTGACGAGGTCTACATCCCCAAAATTTGAGTCCTAATACTCCTCCTAAATTGGGTTTTACTTGAGAGAGTAAATAGACAGTATACTTCATCCAGAGCACATAATCCTTAGGCATTGTAGTTTGCTTAGTCAAGAAATAATTCTCTTATGGTTTTCCTTTCGAGTTAGAAGTCTCTACTTTGTTAAACAGTTGTTGGGCTTCTTCTTGTCTATGGAGTCCTTGCCATTACACACTCTCATGTTTCCTAAGCAATGGTCAATAACTATCCACAGTTGTTGGGCTTCTTCTTGTCTTTTTGTTTCGAGGTACATCTCAATGGCACCCTTTCAAGTTAATATTTGCTCTTTACCAGGATAAACCTCAGTGTAAATTAAGGATCAATGGAATAGAGAACAATCTATTTCACGTTCAATGTACACAAACAACAAGAACCAGAAAACACATGAGAATTGCTTACTTCTTAAGAAGAAAATGTGAGAGAGAGCAAGAGACAGTTTGAAAAGAGTCCCAATCTCCACTTGGTTTCCAACAACCTCCTTTCATGATCATCTATTTCAGCTTAGAAGGTCTCTATCTGCTCCCTTCCAATTCAAGATGATACTCTTCCAAGACATGCACAGCCTAAAAATGGGAATAACTCAATTGATTATTGATGCGTCCATTCTCCATTCCTTGAATGCTCAATTGATTATTGATTGGTCCATTCTCCATTTCTTGAATCCTTATAATTCACTCAGACAAGCCATGAAAAGAGAATAGATGATCCAGTATAGATGAACAACTGCCATTGTTTAAAGTGATGAAAGTAAGTTTTCACATGGTAGTTTCTTACATCATGATCCATGAAACAAGCTGCATTTCAATGTAGCAATTCCTAAATGGGAATATGTTCTTAGTGACCTGAGCCATGGCCCATGGTTCCACGCATGAAGCCAAAGTTTTACTCACTGAATATTTCTGTAATCGATCATGGTTTCTCTGTTTTCGTAAAAATTATTCAGAATGAATCTCATAGGGAGTATATGACCTGCCTCCCTCCTCTCTTTCAGGCAAATAAACTTCTCTACCATTGCCATCTTCTCCTCCAATCCAACTGCAACCAGGAATTTTCTTCAGCCTTTTACTGTGCATAACCATTCTCATCTTATGAGCATCATCCCACCTTCCTAAAGAAGCATGAATATTAGAAAGAACCACATAATGTGCGGGGTTTTCAGGCTCTAAATCAACAAGGTGAGATAATGCTCTCTCTCCTAACTCTACATTGAGATGAATCCGACAAGCACCCAATAAGGCCCCCCATACCCCAGCATCAGGCTTCATAGGCATCCTTTGAATAAAAGCCCATGCTTCCTCAATCTTACCTGCACGACCCAATAGATCGACCATACAAGCATGGTGCTCCATATTTGGTTCAATGTAGTTTTCATATCTCATGGATTCGAAAATTCTCAAACCTTCATCAACTAGTCCTTCATGCCTACATGCGGATAGAACACTCAAGAGTGACAAGTCATCAAACAACACAGAATTCTCTCTCATCTGAGAGAAAAGAAAAATAGCATCTTGGCCATGGCCGTGGATGGCATATCCTGATAACATAGCATTCCACGACACCATATCCCTATGGGGCATGAGATCAAAAATTTCTCGAGCCATACCCAGGTGCCCACATTTCGAATACATATCTATTAGACTATTAATTACTATTATACTTGAGAAAAACCCAGTTTTTACTATGTATGAATGGATAGTTTTTCCTTCATTCAAGGCCGCCAATTGTGCATAGGCTGGTATTATGTTAACAATGGAGACCAAATTGGGCTGGAGCTCCTCTTTCTCTCTCATCCAACAAAAAATAGAAACAGCATCCTTGGGTCGCCCATTTTGTGCATATCCTGCAATCATAGTGTTCCATGAGATCTCATCCTTCACAAATTCGGTCTCAAATAATTTCTCAGCATGACCAATGCACCCACATTTGGCATACATGTCAATGGTGGCATTCATAACGTGAAGATCAGATTCAAAACCTAGCTTGATGGCATGGCCATGTATGCAATTGCCATTATTTATAGCTTTTAAGAGTGCACATGAAGGGAGCAAGCCCACTAAGGTGCTAGAATCTAGCTTAAGCCCAACAGATTGCATGTGCCTAAATGTTTCCATGGCTTTATGGGCATGACCCATCTGAGCATAGCCGTTGACCATGGCATTCCATGTAACTACATCTTTGCATGGCATCTCATGAAACCAAAGCTTTGCATGACTAAAGCATCCACACTTTACATACATGGCCACAAGTGCTGTTCCAATCGAAACATCCAATCCCATACCCATGTCAACTTTCATAACATAGCCATGAATACTCTTGCCTAGCTTCAAAGCTGATATCTCTGCACAAGAAGGAAGAACACTTACTATAGTCACACGATTTGGCTTTAAATTCACATTTTGCATTTCTCTGAAAAACTGCAATGCTTCATTGGGATGCTCACCATGAGCAAGAGCAGATATCATAGCACTCCAAGCTACCAAATCTCCATTTTCAATACCATTAAACAATTCCTTTGCCAGATTGAGGTTTCCACACTTAGCATACATTGTTATAAGTGTGGTGCTTACCTCAATATCCAAACTAGTTCCCCTTTGAATCAAGTAATCATGGATTTCCTTCCCTTTCTCAATATCTCTCAGATCAGTTGCTGCCAAAAGAGCCCCAACTATCTGCACTTGATTAAGCCTCACTTTATCTCTTTTTAACACACCGAAAATCTCCAAAGCCTCAACACTATACCCATTCTGAGAATAAGCAGAAATTAAGGAGCCCCAAGAAACATCATCTCTCTTCAAAAGTCTATCAAAGATTCGACGAGAAGCTTCCACGTTTCCACATTTTGCATAGAGATCGATCAACCCATTAAAAACCGAAAGCTCGAACTCTCTTTTGATGGCAAAACAATGCAAACATTTACACAGCACAAGACTAGATAACCAGCACACTGAAGGAAACAGGTTCAATAAACTCACTGAATTGGCCTCAATGCCCACCATTTGCATCTCTCTAAACACTTTCAACGCTTCTTTAGGATCACCAACTTGTGAATAACCAGAAATCATCGCATTCCAAGCCACCACATCTCTCTCACTCATTTTATTAAACACTTCTCTCGCGAATTCGGTGTAACCAAATTTACAGTACATATCAATTAGGCCAGTGCAAATGTAACCATCTAGTCCAAATCCTCTCTTAACAACCTCCCCATGAAGAGAAAAACCCATTTCCAAACACAAACTTCCAGTACATGCCTTCAATACAAAGGGAAAAGTGTAATTATCAGGCTCAATGGCCTGTTTTAGCATATCAGTATACAAAACCAGAGCTTCTCTGTACAAATTACTCTTGTTATAAACTTTGATCATGGAATTCCATAAAATAACAGTTGGGGTTTTCGAAAAATCAAAGATTAGGCGACCCCCAACTGATCCATGATAAACTGAATATAAATTAAGGAGCTTTGCCTCTAATGAATGGTCTGATTCAAGGCCTAGAGCAATCAAACGACCATGAATTTGTTTCAAAGAGCTTAAATTCTTGCAAGAACTCAAAAGATTGGTATAGTAGTATTGTTCTGAGCATGAAACTGGTTTATCAATGGCGATTTTTACTGTTGCAGGAAAAGAGAAGCGCCTGAGAAATCCGTGTCTGATGCAGAGATACGTATGCATGGGAAGAGGATTTGTCCCAAAGTATCGAGGGTACAATGTCATTAGCATTCTTTATCTTATATACCTGCATTATATGCATTGATCGAAATATTAATCGATAATTAAGAGAGAGTCAAGAACAATGTACTAACTTAAAATTAATGTTGTTATTTGTTATAATTAAGAAAAACTTTTACAATTGACACCATCCGCATATATACACATATGTCACTGAAATTCAAAGCTGTATAATCTAAATGAATGTTGAAAAGTTTCAATCAAAAGGTCAAGTCTAATATGGTCTTATTTTTATTTTTCTATAAATTATCTTGACACGAAATTTGTGATATGTCCACTACTTGTTGCAATGCATCCAACACAAAAATTATGAGTAAAAATAAATGACCGAAATAAATGCTCTTTTTATTTGTTGCGCTGAGGAGATACCCGAAATTTCATCTCAAATTGATTTGTAAGAAAAAGATTAAAAATTATATATTACGCCAATAATTTCGTATAATAATATAATGCAACAATATTTAAAAATCATGTTAGGGCTTAAGAAGTCACTATATCAAGATAAGACATTCATACGCCTATTTGTGACATATGAAGATTAAAGTTGTAAAACAAAAGAAATATATGATAAGATAGAAATTAGGGCACTCTAATCGACGGCCCATTATGGCACTCTAATAGTCCCCTATTAGAGCACTCTAAACTTTTACCTTTGGTAAGTTCTCTTTTAAGTTAAGGATTTTATACCTATGGGAAAAGTTTATATGGTGCTTAGGCTCTAAACAATCAAATTAGAGCATACCTCAAAAATTTTATTAGAAGAGGTTGTTTTGATGCCCAAATATCATCAAATTGATCATCTCAACATCAAGATGCATGGACACAAGAAAAAATGGATTTCAAGTTTTAGAAATAGTACATCTTATAATGTATTTTTTTATCGTCAAGTTTTAAGTTGTCATTGATCTGCTCAACACTATTTTTTAAGTTTTAAATTTTATAATTAAAGATGAAAATATATTTTAAGGCTATTACAAAAATTTTCAGTATTAAAATCATATTTCTCGACACTATTGAAGGTGAGCACTAATTTGATTACAAACCCCACCCTATATTGTATGAAGAGGTCACAATTATTTATAACCATCAGATGTGAAATTTGATAGCTTGGATATGCTACAAAATTAGAGAAAAAATCTTTCGAACTTTACGCTTGGTCAATAGAATAAATGCACCCATTCAATTTCACATCTAATAGTCAAGATTATTTGCATAGATACAAAAAGAAATATACCAATGATGTGGAAATCAGTTATTTTAGTGCAAATATTGGAGACCAAATTTTTATTAATAGAACTTCCCTAATATTTTTATAGTTTCAAAATTCTAATGGAGTACCAAAACCCTAGCATATCAACTCAAAATTCAAGGAAAAAGTCTTAAAAACGCCTATAGGCGAATTGCTACAGTATTTCGCCCTGCCATGGACATGCTATGTCCGTAACGGTTTTGCCTAAAAACTGCCACAGACCTACAGAAGAAGTGGCGGTCCCTGCACAATTTTTGCGTGAAAAAAATCTCGTTACAGACTTGCTATGTCCATGACAGACCGCAACAAAAATGCTATATCCGTGACAATCTTGCCGTCCGAAAAAATCGAATGGTGCCGAGCCTATGGGCGAAAATACTCTTCATTTTCGCCCATAAGCGTTTTGCAGTCTCTTCCAAATTCAAGACTCCCCTAGTGTACTCATTTTCTTCGACTTCTTCGGCTTCTTCGGACTATGACTTCGTTCTCCGGATCATAATCACGTTCTTTTGTTATTAAGTCAAAAAATTTCTCTTTTTTTTTTAACATTAATTCTCAATATAGTAGTGTTCTTAGAACCAACTTTTGAGGATTGCCTACAATGTTTTATTGATGGACTTACACGTAAACATAATTAAATAACTCCCCTTGCTTGTCTTTGGGTTTAACTCTAAGCATTAGGATTGGGTTTAACTTTAAGCATTAGGATGCGAACTTTTCATTCCCCTGTACGAACATATGAAACCCAACGGGCCCGGTGGGGTCTCGATGTTGTTTAGGGCAAGTTTGAACAATTTGTTAATTTTTAGTACGGGTGGCAATGGGCCAGCTCGGGTCTCGATCGTTCGCGACCCAAACTCGACCCGACTAGACTAGGTTGAAGTTGGACAATGACCCGTCCGATATGATACTAGAAATTAGAAAAAGAAAGTTATTTATATATTTTATAAGATGTATATATACACATTTTTTTAAGAGAGGAAGTTAATTATGGAAAAGAAGTGAGATATAGTTAATATTATTAGGTTAAATAATTATATATTTTGCACTTAGATAATCCAGGTCAGGACGAGTCAAGTTCAATTAATTTTATCATAACATGTAATTATAGAGTAACAAAATCTCCATAATGTTAACTTAAAATTTTAACGTTAATTTCAAGTTAGTACATTGTTCTTGACTCTCTTAATTATCGATTAATATTCCGATCACTGCATATAATGCCGGTATATAAGGTAAGAAATGCTAATGACCATTGTACCCTAGATATTTTGGGACAAATCCTCTTCCCATGCGTACGTATCTCTGCATCAGACATGGATTTCTCAGGCGCTTCTCTTTTCCTGCAACAGTAAAAATCGCCATTGATAAACCAGTTTCATGCTCAAAACAATACTACTATACCAATCTTTTGAGTTCTTGCAAGAATTTAAGCTCTTTGAAACAAATTCATGGTCGTTTGATTGCTCTAGGCCTTGAATCAGACCATTCATTAAAGCCAAAGCTCCTTAATTTATATTCAGTTTATCATGGATCAGTTGGGGTCGCCTAATCTTTGATTTTTCAAAAACCCCAACTGTTATTTTATGGAATTCCATGATCAAAGTTTATAACAAGAGTAATTTGCATAGAGAAGCTCTGGTTTTGTATACTGATACGCTAAAACAGGCCATTGAGCCTGATAATTACACTTTTCCCTTTGTATGAAGGCATGTACTGGAATTTTGTGTTTGGAAATGGGTTTTTCTCTTCATGGGGAGGTTGTTAAGAGAGGATTTGGACTAGATGGTTACATTTGCATTGGCCTAATTGATATGTACTATAAATTTGGTTACACCGAATTCGCGAGAGAAGTGTTTAATAAGATGAGTGAGAGAGATGTGGTAGCTTGGAATGCGATGATTTTTGGTTATTCACAAGTTGGTGATCCTAAAGAAACGTTGAAAGTGTTTAGAGAGATGTAAATGGTGGGCATTGAGGCCAATTCAGTGAGTTTATTGAACCTGTTTCCTTCAGTGTGCTGGTAATCCAACCTTGTGCTGTGTAAATGTTTGCATTGTTTTGCCATCAAGAGAGAGTTCGAGCTTTCGGTTTTTAATGCGTTGATCGATCTCAAAATGTGGAAAGGTGGAAGCTTCTCGTCGAATCTTTGATGGACTTTTGAAGTGAGATGATGTTTCTTGGGGCTCCTTAATTTCTGCTTATTCTCAGAATGGGTATAGTGTTGAGGCTTTGGAGATTTTCGAAGTTAACAAGAGAGAATGTGAGGCATAATCAAGTGCAGATAGTTGGGGCTCTTTCGACAACAATCGATCTGAGAGATATTGAGAAAGGGAAAGAAATCCATGATTACTTGATTCAAAGGGGAACTAGTTCGGATAGCGAGGTAATCACCACACTTATAACAATGTATGCTAAGTGTGGAAACCTCAATCTGGCAAAGGAATTGTTTAATGGTATTGAAAATGGAGATTTTGTAGCTTGGAGTGCTATGATATATGCTCTTGCTCATCGTGCATCCCAATGAAGCATTGGAGTTTTTCAGAGAAATGCAAAATGTGAATTTAAAGCCAAATCGTGTGACTATAGTAAGAGTTCTTCCTTCTTGTGCAGAGATATCAACTTTGAAGCTAGGCAAGAGTATTCATGGCTATGTTATGAAAGTTGACATGGGTATGGGATTGGATGTTTTGATAAGAACAGCACTTGTGGCAATGTATGTAAAGTGTGGATGCTTTAGTCATGCAAAGCTTTAGTTTCATGAGATGCCATGCAAAGATGTAGTTACATGGAATGCCATGGTCAACGGCTATGCTCAGATGGGTCATGCCCATAAAGCCATGGAAACATTTGGGCACATGCAATCTGCTGGGCTTAAGCTAGATTCTAGCACCTTAGTGGGCTTGCTCCCGTCATGTGCACTCTTAAAAGCTATAAATAATGGCAATTGCATACATGGCCATGCCAATCAAGCTAGGTTTTGAATCTGATCTTCACGTTATGAATGCCACCATTGACATGTATGCCAAATGTGGGTGCATTGGTCATGCTGAGAAATTATTTGAGACCGAATTTGTGAAGGATGAGATCTCATGGAACACTATGATTGCAGGATATGCACAAAATGGGCAACCCAAGGATGCTGTTTCTATTTTTTGTTGGATGAGAGAGAAAGAGGAGCTCCAGCCCAATTTGGTCTCCATTGTTAGCATAATACCAGCCTATGCACAATTGGCGGCCTTGAATGAAGGAAAAACTATCCATTCATACATAGTAAAAACTGGGTTTTTCTCAAGTATAATAGTAATTAATAGTCTAATAGATATGTATTCGAAATGTAGGCACCTGGGTATGGCTCGAGAAATTTTTGATCTCATGCCCCATAGGGATATGGTGTCGTGGAATGCTATGTTATCAGGATATGCCATCCACGGCCATGGCCAAGATGCTATTTTTCTTTTCTCTCAGATGAGAGAATTCTGTGTTGTTTGACGACTTGTCACTCTTGAGTGTTCTATCCGCATGTAGGCATGAAGGACTAGTTGATGAAGGTTTGAGAATTTTCGAATCCATGAGATATGAAAACTACATTGAACCAAATTTGGAGCACCATGCTTGTATGGTCGATCTATTGGGTCGTGCAGGTAAGATTGAGGAAGCATGGACTTTTATTCAAAGGATGCCTATGAAGCCTGATGCTGGTGTATGGGGGGCTTTATTGGGTGCTTGTCGGATTCATCTCAATGTAGAGTTCGGAGACAGAGAGCATTATCTCACCTTGTTGATTTAAAGCCTGAAAACCATGCGCATTTTGTGGTTCTTTCTAATATTCATGCTTCTTTATGAAGGTGGGATGATGCTCATAAGATGAGAATGGTTATGCACAGTAAAAGGCTGAAGAAATTCCTGGTTGCAGTTGGATTAGAGGAGAAGATAGCAACGGTAGAGAAGTTTATTTGCCTGAAAGAGTGGAGGGAGGCGGGTCATATACTCCCTATGAGATTCATGCTGAATAATTTATACGAAAACAGAGAAACCATGATCCATTACAGAAATATTCAGTGAGTAAAACTTTGGCTTCAGGCGTAGAACCATGGGCCATGGCTCAGGTTACTAAGAACATCTGCCCATGTAGGAATTGCTACATTGAAATGCATTTCATGAATCATGATGTAAGAAACTACCATGTGAAAACTTACTTTCATCACTTTAAACAATGGCAGTTGTTCATCTATACTGGATCATCTTTTCTCTTTTCACGGCAGGTCTGAGTGAATTATAAGGATTCAAGGAATGGAGAATGGACCAATCAATAATCAATTGAGCATTCAAGGAATGGAGAATGGACGCATCAATAATCAATTGAGTTATTCCCATTTTTAGGCTGTGCATGTCTTGGATGTGTATCATCTTGAATTGGAAGGGAACAGATAGAGACCTTCTAAGATGAAATAGATGATCATGAAAGGAAGTTTTGTTGGAAACCAGGTGGAGACTGGGACCCTTTTCAAACTCTCTCTTGCTCTCTCTCACATGTTCTTCTTAAGAAGTAAGCAATTCTCATGTCCTGGTAAAGAGCAAATATTAACTTGAAAGGGTGCCATTGAGATGTACCTCGAAACAAAAAGACAAGAAGAAACCCAACAACTGTGGATAGCTATTGACCATTGCTTAGGAAACATGACAATGTGTAATGGCAAGGACTCCATAGACAAGAAGAAGCCCAACAACTGTTTAACAAAGTAGAGACTTCTAACTCGAAAGGAAAACAATAAGAGAATTATTTCTTGACTAAGAAAACTACAATGCCTAAGGATTATGTGCTCTAGATGAAGTATACTGTCTATTTACTCTCTCAAGTAAAACCCAAGTTAGGAGGAGTATTAGGACTCATATTTTGGGTATGTAGACCTCGTCAACCCTGCCACTAACCTCAAAAAAGAAAAAAAGTTTCAAATCGCACTTTGGCTTGCAAAGGGTAACATCCACAGCTTGAGCATGGATAGTCCAATTTTTGGAGGGTGATGTCTAAGCATCGAAGAACTCAATAATCAAATTTTATTTTTTTAAAGTAAGAATATGTCGAGTGCTAAGCAGATCCCATAAATCTTCCTAGGTAGGTCTTTCACAAAAGGAGTTAGTGTACAGTATGCCAATGAGAGAGAATATTCATCATTATATTACGTAGATTCTGGATTCATGAAAAGTTTTAGCAAAGTTTTACATAGTAGTCTGTCTAACACAACCCACCTCCTTCACCAAGGCTTAGGATGGGTTAAGAGAAAGTTCAAGGTCATCACCCTTCTTAAACCACTACTCCTGAGAGAGCACAATATATGACCCTAACTATAATAGAGCTGCTTGCCTTTGGAAGCCCTCGGAGGAACTTTGGGTAAGTTTTCATTGATAGAAATAACATCAAGATAAATCCTACCTTTTGTTTCTACAGGAATGAAGCTGAATTTGTGCAGGGCAAAGACAATAACAAACTCAGCTCCTGGGACTTCTAATCCAAGAAAGGAACTTTGGGGAGAATTTCATTGATATAAATAACTTCAAAAATAAGAAACGAAAAAGTTATTATTTTATATTTGGAAGTACCAGGCCTGATTTGGGTAAGGAACAAAATGTAATGTTCATACTCTAAGCCTTGTCTCAATGCAACCTATGTGTCACCTTTTTGGATCAAAGCTACAAGACAAGGTATTTAGAATTCACACCCTTGATCGTCCTCATCCAACTTGTGTGTTCACACCATTAAGACCAAATGCCACATCACAAAATGGCCTACAATTTTCTTGTTTGTTTTGGGTGGATGGGTCAATTATCAATTGATATCTTTCCTTTTGGAATGGGATTGGGACCCAATATCTCAAACTTGTATAAAGTCTATTAGTTTTCTTGCTTTTTTATAAGCACATTGATGTTTTCCTAGTCTTAGTATAAATTATTTTCTTGATTGCTAATAAGATCCAACCTCTTGACTCTTGTTTTGTATTATTTCCAAAATTTCAAACCAAAAAACCAAAAAAAGGTATAGATGTATTGTTTTTTCTTGAAAAATCCCATTATCTACAGGGGAGTTTTCTAAAAAAATCTCAATTTTTCACAACTTTGATATTTCAATTAATGTTTTATCTCTACATGTATAAAATGAGACATTGTTATATATTGTTTCTTTAGAAATTCCAAAAAACTATATGCTCTTGCTTGGTTAAAATCCTATCTAGGAATAAATTTTAGGAGAATTTACCAAAAAATCCTGTCTATTTTTAAAATTGAAGAGTATTTCTCTGTATTTTATATTTTACACTCAAGTTCACCTTTTTATTTTCATTGATTAAAATAACATCAAGATAAAGCTTACTTGTTGTTTCTACAGGTATGAAGCCTAATTGAGGACAAAAACTATAATAAACTCACCTCTTGGGACTTCTGATCCAAGAAAGGAACTTTGGGGAGAATTTCATTGACATAAATAACTTCCAAAAAAAGAAAAAATGTTGTTGTTTTATTTTTGGAGGTACCTAGCCTGATTAGGGCAAGGGACAAAATATAAAGTTCATACTCTTACCCTTTTTTCATTGCAAATTGTGTGCCACTCTTTTGGACCTAAGGCTACAAGAGAATGGCTTTAGAATTCACACCCATGATCTTCCTCATCCAAGTTATGTGGTCACACCATTATGACCAAATGCTACATCACAAAATGGCCTACAATTTTCTTGTTTGCTTTCGGTGGATGGGTCAATATTTCCTTTTGGAAATGGGATTGGGACCCAATATCTCAAACTTGTATAAAAATATCTATTAGTTTTCTAGCTGATAAGCATAATTGATGTTAGTCTAGTTTTAATACAAAGGATGAAGTTTCTATAGGGCCTAGGCTTTATGAAATCAAAATAAAGCCTCACCTCAAATCCACATCCGAAAAGAACTTTAGGTATTAGAAATCTTCATGATGGCTCTAAAATCAATTTCCCATATGGACAACAAAATTTGAAACTAGAAAAATGATACAAATCTTGTGGATCTGTGAACCTTATTTTTAGGGTGAAATGGATGGTCTAGATGATTTGTTGCAATATACATTGTTTTAGAACTTGAAACCCTAATTTTTTTTGACAACCATAATGTTCAAGCTTAGATGCTAGATTTAAAGGTCTTTCAATTATGAGGTGAGGCTTTACTTATTTTGATGGAGTGCATTACAAATTTGTGTCGAGAAAGCAACTAAATTTTTTTCTATTTTCTAATTCCAACTAAAACCTTTATGGCATGTTTGGTTTATATGAAAATATTTCATGTAATTATATGTGAGAATATTTTAACACTAATTAGCCATTAATTAGTGTTAAATGGTAGGGGGCTGTCCTCCCCATTGATTCATCCAAAAAAAAAAAAGTAAGCAAACTGATTAGCAATTTATTTTGATATTTAATGAAATGTGAAGCTCTAAAAATAGTATAGATCTGACAAATTTATGAACACTTGAAAATGACTATCCAAATAATACGATGCAAGATGCACTATTTTTAGTGCTTAAAATCCTTTTCTTCAGTTTAGATTGATTTTTTTAGGCCAAGATGATCAGCGCATCAAAACAGCATTTGGAAGTGTAACCCTACTCTTTTCATCAGTCTTATAATTTCCTGAACATCTTATTTTTCCTAAAGTAATTACCGAGAACTATCTAACTCTTAACAAGTATAGAATAAGGCATTTTTTAAAAAAAATATATAAAGAGGCCACAATCAACCATGACTGGTAGATGTGAAATCAGATTGGGTTATCCTATTGACTAGGCTCAAAGTAGAGGAAGAAATAAGTAAAACCACTCTCTACTTCTGCACATTAAAGTTTAAAAGAAAAAAGAAAAGACACTCGCCAGAACTATCATTTATAGAGAAAGCTTACATGGTGAGGAAAAAAAGGAAAACAAAAGACAGGAGACCTTCAGATACAGAGAAGCCATACCTTCACATAAACTCCAATACAAAATGATTGGCAAACATGATCATGAACATATCCAAAAGGCCAAAACAATCATTTCAATAAATAATCCTCTGAATATAACAGAAAGCAAGATGAACAAACCCCAAAAAAATGAATTCAACAAATAATCCTCTAAACATAACAGAAAGCCAGAAGAATAAGCCCAGAACAACTAATTCAATAAATAATCCACTGAAAGTAAAAGAAAGGAGAAAACCCAAGATCATCAAAACTAAATCTTCACAGAAAAAAGAAAATTAATACCTCAAGTTACACAGAGATAAGGACTTTGTATTCACATGGGGAGGAGCGAGCTTCACAATATATATAGTGTAACAACACGAGATTAAGTCCCTGTCATGACAAATAAACAAACACATTGGCCTAAGTAATAACAAAAGTCAATTTATTAACAAAAAAAAAAAAAGTGGGAATTTAAATGCAAAAAATGGAAGTTTTGTGCGATAAAAATACCAAAAGAAAAAAGGAAAACCATGTTTGTTCTTCCTTGTAATCCACGGTTCATAGATTGTGAGATCGGGTTGATATAAATGGAAAATAATAATAATATAAAAATAAACTGAAATTCGTCCTTTCCAGAGGGCATGGAAGTGGGGATAGTAGCCACGTAAGAAACGAAGGGCACGGTCAAAAGAGTGAAAACCACTGTCATGTAAATGGCCTCCAGAACTGTGCATTTATCCATGTAATTTTGGTGGAACTATTTCTATTTCTGCTTATAAAAGGAAACAAGTTTATATAAGGTTGCAATTTAAATTGTAGAATTAAGGTGGAACTAAAAATCTATTGTAAAATGTTGTTTCGATTTTAGAAAGCCCTCTAATTGATTACGACTATAAAAATAAAAAATAGATTTTGAGTCATAAATATAATGCATTTTACAACACATTATCTGGACCGTCCATTGTCAAGTATTTATACATTTACCTTATTTGACCTATTATTGGAGTTTAAGGCTCTATAATTAACGATGAAATTAAATTCTCAAACCGTACTAAGAATTTTTTACACCAAAAATTATATTTTATGATAAAATTTGTAGGTACGACTTAATTTGATTGTTCAATGTTCCAACCTTATACAAACCACACCCGTTATGAAAACTTAAAGCTCAAAATAATAGTATCTATCTAGTAGATATATAACACTTAGGGAACTTGAAAATACACAATCTATATAATATGAGATGCAATATTTTCAAGACTCTTAGAAAAACAAATTTTTGGAGATTTATCGAAATACACCTCACTTTTCA